AGCTCTGAAGCAATTAGTCTGTTTGGAGAAACACCCCCTTCCGGCTGAATAAATCTGAGAATAGTGCCAAAAGGTGCCAACCAACTCATCTCCCCAGAGATACAAAAGGTATAAAAACAAATCCTTTACTCTCACTAAGGGTCACTCCATTCAGGACCCCCTCCGTTTTGAGAGAGCTGTTACTTTCTGCTCTAATAAACTATTCTCTGCTGCAAACTTGACCTCTCTGGTCCATGTCTCCATCCTTCAGTGCTGCGAGACCACGATCCCGGCGCACACAAACACACACATCAAAAGTCCTGCTTCGTTAGCAGATTGTCTGGTGTTCAAAGTAGCCGGGGGTGTGGATTCCTGAACAGGGCTATAGCTCGCTCTCAGAGCGTAGCGTAAGAATGAAAATAACATGTTTGTCACACGAGCCATGTTGAATATTTACATTTCAGAAATTTCTATTCCGTCTATCCTCAAGGCAGCCGTCATCGTGAACCTGATCATGTCATTTCTCTGCGTCCAGACCCAGCAGGGCTTCTCATTTCGCTTCGCTTCAAGCACAAGTTCCAGTCCTTGCCGTGGCTTGTGAAGCCTCACATGGCCTGGCTCCCTGGTAACTTCTGACATCAGCGGTTCCCTCCCTTGGTCACCTGCTGTAGCCACACTGGCCTCCACCCTCTTCCTCTCACACCTGGGCTCTTCGCCGTCTCTGTTCCTTCTACCTGGAACGAGTTCCCCCCCTAATTCTACCTGGCTCATTCTTGTACCTCCTTTTGCTTTCGTACTTCTTCAAATCACATGCTATACGTTCAGTTATTTGTCTTCTTTTATCCCCACTAGCTTGTAAACGCCACGAGGACACACGTTTTGGTCTAGTGTGCTCCCTGCTCTAACTCCGTGCCCGCACCTGTGTCTGGCACATTGCGCCTTCCGTATAGATTTTTGAGTCTCCGAACAACTGGCTACTGCAAGGATTAATGTTATTCTGCAAACCACCTTCTTGTCTCCATTAGAAATGAATATTTAGGGCCGGCCGAGTGGCGCGTTGGTTAAGAACTGGCTTGGGATGCCAGAGGGCCCCGGTTCGGATCCCACGTATGAGGGCCAGTGACACTGCCCTCTACAGCTAATATGCTGAACAACAGCTCAACCTGGAGCTGGGCTGCCTTGGGTCGCTGGCGACGGCGTGGGCTGCAGTCCCCTGCTGCAGTGGGCTGCCATAAGCTACTGTGTGTAGCCGGCAGCCAGCGTGAGCGGCCAGCAGCCGCAGTGAGCGGCGTCCAGAAGCCGGCGACTGATCTGCCTCGCCCAGGAAGAGCAAAATGATGGTGCCAGCTTGGGCCAGTGAAGCAACATCCTCCACAACTAGACTGAAGAACAAAAGGACAGCCACTTGTCTGTTCCCCTTCCCCCAATTCCCCAATAAAATCTTTAAAAAAAAAAATTAAAAAAAAAAAAAAGAAATGAATATTTATCCCTTTCTTATATAACTGATCAGATTTCTTATGATCTTTATTATGCAGTCCCCGACTTCAACGACAGCATCATATATTAACCCACAGTGGCCAACCCCAACTCTAACTAGATTTCCTCCTTGGCTGGGAACGGAAAAGCAGGCTGTAGTTTCATTTTCTTGAAAAATGAAACCTATTTTGTTGGCTGCTTGCCCCCCTGAGGCGGAGCTGCTCTCAAGCTCCAGAGCCTCATTTCCAGAATCATCAAAACTTAAGTCCCCAAGGTCAGATCTGCATTTTCGGAAGACCCTCTTCTCTGGGTAAGACATGGAGGGGTGGGCAGGGGCTGCTCCTTCCAGGGGCCCCAACCTCAGGGAGTGGAGGGGAGACCCTTGTGGAGCCATTAGCAGAATGCTCTTTTGTTTCTCATGGGGGCGGGGCTACCATCAGATAAGGTTAGTCTGGGACTCTGAGACAGTGAGCCTTCTCCATGCCTGGGTGGGGTGAGATAGGCAAGGGTAAGAGGTCTAGGAGGAACCAGGTCAGAGCCACTGCAAGCCCAAGCTTTGGAAGCAGCTGGCTCTGGGTTGGGTCTCACTTTGACACACAAAGCCTTGTGACCTCAGGTGAATCACTGACCACCTCCATGCCAGGCAGTGTGTCCTAATCTATAAAATGAGGATAGTAATCTCACCTTTCTCATTGTGTTAGTGAGGAGATTGCATAAGAGCAGGAACCCAGAGCAACCCTACCGTGGTATATGCCTTAAAACCAGAATTGGTCTGGTTTCCTAATTCTGGTGTCTTTTAAGTTGCTCCTTGGAGATTTAAGGAAGTTCCTGAAATATCTAAGGAGTTGGTGCTGGTGTTTGAAGAGGAAAGAAGCAGCCCAGGTCCGCGAACATGAGTCCTTCCGTAATGCCAACACCCACACCTGCATCCTTTCCAGACCTCCTGCCCCCACACGCTCAGAGGAGCCTCTCTATTCCCAGTGGAGCGCCTTGGGGGTTTTCAAGGCAGTATAGGAACCCACAGTTCTGGTGCCCCCACACTCAACAAAGCTCTACCCTTCCTGCAGATTTGTCTCTGCTGGGCTACTCTGTGCACCATGGAAGCCTTCTTAGTCTCTAACATCGCCCCAATAGTTTCATCAGTGAGCCTGGCCAAAATTGGCGGGGCAGCGTCCGGCAGTGTGCTGGCCGGACTGTCGTCTGTGGGTGAGTGTTCCTGGGAGGGCTGGTGGGGGACAAGAAGGTGGCTGAGGAGGTAGGGCACAGGGTCCTTCTCAGGGTCCTGTGGGGAGGAGGGGTGGCATCACCTGCAGCCTCTCTCGCTGCCCTGTCCTCCCCCGAGTGTCTGTCCTGACTCTCTCTCTGAGTGTTACCTTGTGCAAGGTCCGCGGAAGCCAAAACGTGTGAGAAGAGGTTGGTGGAAAGAAAAGCAGGTTTATTAAAAAAGCCAGCATTCTGGGAGAATGGGGGACTCCCAACATGATGAAGAGGTTTCATAGGCACATAAGAAGAAGCAGAACGAAAGGAAAAGGCGGGGTGGGGGGTGCGGGTGGGCATGGCCCGGAGTAAACAGAGCCATTGAAGCTGGTCTGGAGTAAACATGCTGAAGCTGACATGCACAGTAAATATAGACTAAATAGAGTCATTAAGGTTTGATAGGAAGAAAGGGACACAAAGGAAAGAAACTTTCAAAACGTCTCAAGTTAAATGACACAGTTAAATTTAATTACACTAGAGGTTTCTATCTCAATATGGAAAATACAGTGTCACCCTTACATGACAAGGGCCAGAGGGAGGCAGGACCTGGCTCAGGGGGCCTGGGCCCCCTCCCCGCTGGGCCCGGGTCTCCTGTCACCCAGACTGAGGGGACCTGAGGCTGGGTCCTGCTCTCTGGCTCTCATTTCCCCTGTTTCACCACCAGAATTCACCTGCTTTACGTTTTTGCCTGTGCATCCAACTGATAGTGTAGGAAGGAAGGTAGATAACAGCAGTAGGAGGAATTAGGAGCCCCCACAGGTAACCCAGTGGCCTCATCAGAATCCTGTTTCAAACCCACTGAAGTGAGGAGCCAGAACAGAGCCTCGGGCTAGTGCAAACACACGAGGCTGAGCAGAGGTGCAGAAGAAGGAGAGACACAGGAAAGGGGGAGGCGGATGATAGCCCAATATAGCACAGAAGGTCAGGGTCCCAGAGAGATTGGGCTGCTCCCCACTCTCGGGTCAGCCTGCTCCATGCTTGGAGGAGCCTTGGAGCAAACTTGCTTTGCAAACAAACTTTGCTGTCTGCTGCTGGCTTGACTCCTGTCTCTTGACCCAATTCTTTCTTTCAAGAAGATAAGAACCTAGGAAAATCCTCGCTCCCAGTAACACAACCAGCCTTGCGGTGCAGTTTGTAATGTTGGATCTCAGATCCAGAGCATTGATTTGAACAAAAATCTTCAGTTTTGGTCTATTCTCTCTGTTGGTTCCTGTTAGCCCTCTCTCCAGTTTTATTTGTTTATTAGCTTCCCTCTTGCTCCCATTCCCCTTTCCTCAGTCGGCCTTTCTAATATGTTTAGTGGGCATCTGTTTTTCATATATATTTTTGCAATATGGGTGTTTTGTGTTTGCTTGTGTTTTGATTTACATACAGAGGAGTGCATATCTCCTTCTGTTGCTTTTTTTTTCCGCACAAACAACTCTGTTTTTGAGATTCATCAGTGTTGCTAGGGGAGCATCTAATCCTGCTTCCACCTGCTACAAAGTGATTGTATGTGCAGACACCACCACTGACCCTTCTCTCCCCTGGGTGGACACCCAGGCGTCCTCCCCCGTCCACCAGCACAGAGAGCATAGTGTGGAATGGGGCAAGGGAACGGGGCCCCTGATCACTGCTGGACTTCTCACCTCTGCTCACCCTGTGTTCTTGCTCAGGACTCACCCTGCCATCCAGTGCTGCCCTGGGCTCGGCTGCATCTACCTTGGGATCCATGCTGGGGACACTGAGTGTCTCTTCTCTACTGGAATCCCCTGCTGTGGCCTTGGCTGCTTCCCCAGTTGGAGGTAACTGGCCTTGGGCCACACGCACCCCTTCAAGCATTCGACAGTCCTTGCCTGACTTTAGCCACCTCGTGCAAATGAAGCACATTCTGTCTACATGAGGATTTTTGCTGTCTGAAGAGCTTTTTCTGTACTTAGGAGAAAGTCATATAATCCCGCACTAAGCAAACATTGACCCTATTTTCAGATTAGCTACCATCCTGGCTCAGAGAGCATGACTCCATCCCCTTCGCCTCTCCCTGCCCCAATCAGCCACTATGCCCTAACTTACCACACCAAGGGCTCCAACTCCCTGAGAAGGGGTGCTGCAGTGGCTTGCCTTCCTCCCCCATCTGTAGGGTTTTAGTTGTTTTTAGTTTAACCAAACCTGGTTGGAACACAGAGAGAAAGAAAAAGATGGCTTCTGATCTCCTCAGAATCCCCAAACCAACCAACCAATTAGCAGACAGAACAAAAACCTGTATATGATGACTGAACTTGGACGAAGAAGGAACTCAAACCCCATCTCCAAATAACTTTAGGCCAAGGCATGCACATCCACCCAGGACAGGTCATTTGCCTCTGCAGCAATCCTTGCCAAGCTCAGGGCCATGGGGTCTGCCTTGTCAGAAAATCCCACTTCTCAGAGTGAAGCCACGGGGTGGGGCCTAGGGCATGTCAGGCAGGGCCCATTCCTTCCTGTGTTTCCAACGTTGGGGCAGCCCCTTCCCCAGAGGTGGGCCGTTGCCCAGGGAGTGAAGGGGAGGCCAGTGTGGATCCACTCACACCATGTTCTGTTGGTTTCCAGCCAAGACTGCTGCAGCTGTGATCGGAGGAGGTGAGTCTGTTTAGGGAAGGGACTCAAGTCCCATCTGCCCCTGGGCCCTGGGACTTGGGGGCAAGTGGCCTTGTGCATGCCCAGGTTTGCCCCAGGCCTTGCATAGATGGTCGGGAAGGAGATGAAATGGTGGAGGTGAGCAGGAAACAAGGAGCTGGAAATAAGAAAGAGGGGGCTTGAAACAAGGAGTGTCATGAAAACTCTGGTGTGCAGGCAGCCCTGGCAGGGTCTAATCTCCTCTTTGCAGAGCCCTGGCTGTGTGACCTTCAACATGTCTTTGAACTCTGAACTTTTCTTTCCTCCCCTGAAAAATGGACCAATGTTGCCCATTAAGAGTTATGAGGGTTGGGCCGGCCGAGTGGCTCAGTTGGTTAAGAGCTCGCTTAAGAGTTTGAGCTCTGAGCAACAGCGGTTCGAGTCCAGCCCGAGCTGAGCAGCTGCTGAGCTGCCAACAGGTAGCAGGATGGCTCAGCTAAAAAAAAAAAATAATAATAATAATTAAGAGTTATGAGGGTTACACAGGATGAGACTGCGCAGAGTTGGAGCGTAAGAGGGGTAATAAAGAGATGCCATCAGCTCAGTGACCCTGGGTCTAGGGGCTTCCGATGGCTCTGTGGTGATGCCATGGAGCCTCAGAGATGGGATTCAAACAGAACTCAGAATGTGCTCCTTGCTTGATGCCAGTCTGCTGGGTGAGTAAGATTGAGTGCATTGAAGATCTTCTCAGCAAAGATCAGAAGTCTACAAGCCACGCCCTAGTTCCAGCATCTTGCAGAAAACTAATGCAGAAAAAGACCCAGAGGACGTAGGACTTTCCCAAGGAAGGTCCTGCTGCAGACCAGAGCCCTGTCCCCAGCGACCCACAGCTTCCCTCTGCTTTCCCCACGTAGTTGTGCTCCCCTTGTCCTGGGACTGCTAGCCATGCCTAGCGTCTCTCAGGTTCAGAGTCCACCCCCTTCAACCCCCCTGAAGTCCCCCAAGCTTGACCAACTGTGTGTGCATGTGTGTGTGTGTGGGGGGGCATTGCCCTGAGCTCTCCCCTTGACCCGGAACCTCTCCCCTGACAGCTGTGGCTGTGGGCTCTGTGCCGGTGGTGCTGGGTGCCATGGGCTTCACTGGAGCAGGAATCGCAGCCTCCTCCGTAGCGGCCAAGATGATGTCAGCCGCTGCCGTGGCCAACGGGGGTGGGGTTGCCGCCGGCAGCCTGGTGGCTACTCTGCAGTCTGTGGGTAAGTGTCCCCAGTGCCGCTGTTGTGCAGGGTAAGGAGAAAGACAAGCGTCTCAGAGGATACAGCCCAGGTCTTAGCCCCAGTGATCCTCAGTCTCTCTGTGCCTGTATCTCACCCTCCATGTTCTTTCTCTGGGTTTCTCAGAGAGGAAAGGATGCTTGGCCTGGGGTATGCTGCGTTCAGGTAGACTCTACCTAGAGCCAGTTTCCTGGGTTACTTGGGGCGTTTCCACTCTACCTGGGGCTCAGTCTTCATCCCGGAAGAGCGAGGCAGCTTCTAGCTCTCGGTTGAGCCACTGGAGTCCATGCCACTGGGGAGCTGCCTGTCGCAGCCCTCCCGAAACGGAGTTCCTGGGGTGTGGGGAAACAGAGGAGGGTCCTGGGGATGGGAGGGTGTGTGGGTCTCAGGCCCTCCTGAGAGGCCCTGGGGTCTCTGGCCTCATGGCTCTGTCCCACAGAGCTGTCCCTCTCTGCTCACACTCTTCTTCTCCCCCAGGAGCGGCTGGACTGTCCCTGTCATCCAAAGTCATCCTGGCCTCTGCTGGGTCCCTTGTGTCCCTCGTGGTATAGCTCCCTGTCACTGCCACTGCAGAGAAGAGAACCTGGTGGGACCCTGCCCACCAGCCTGATGCAGTGAGGACCAGTCCCGGGGTGACAATGTGCCCAGCACTGCAACCCCAGAGGACAATAAAGAATAAAAATGAGTTGTCACAACCCCTCCCAGGTCCTTTCCTTCTTGCTTGCAGTTGAGGTGGGGGAAGGCTCTCTTCTCCTTCCAACCATGTGGTCACAGAGCCACAGGGTGTTGGGTTACAGTAAGCTGGAGGGAGCCTAAATGGGAACACAGGAAGCTGCCCCTGCCCAGCTTCCGACTCCTCCTGTGACCCGGGTCAGGTGAGCTCTCTGGGCCTGGGCTTGCCCCTGTCTAAATGGGTTGTTGATCTAAATGACCTCAGAGATCCCAGCCAGGATGGGTGTTGGTTCAGTGCCTGGGCAGAGTCAGGAAGAGGGGCAGAAGGGCATCCTTTTTGGAGCCACTTACCTCAAAGCTGGAGCCTCACTTGCACCCTCACTCCACTCCGGCCGGCCTCTACGTATCCAGTGGCTTTTCCTGCGTGGCCTGGCATAGGCTCTGCTCCGTGAGCCATGTCACTGCTCCGGCCCTGCGTACTCCCTCCCTCCCCTGCCCAGAGGAAGGCATGTAACAGCAGTGTCTTTGTCTAGCTGAGCTGCTATAAGAAAAATTGGCAAGATTGGGTGGCTTACAAACAACAATTGATTTCTCCCAGCTCTGGAAGTCAAAGATCAAGGCACTAGCAAATTAGGTGTCCGGTGAGAGCCTGCTTCCGGGAGAGCCACCTTCTGGCTGTGTCTCCCTCCCAGGACAGAAGGAGCAACAGAGCTCTCTGGGGATCTCTTTAAAAGGGCATTAACCCCCGTCATGAAGGCTCCACCCTCATCATCTAAGCACCTCCCAAAGGTCCCACCTCCTAACACCATCACCTTGTGGCGTTAGCATTTAAACATGTGAACTTTGCGTGGGAGAGGGTGGCACAAATATTCAGCCCATAGCCAGCATGTCGGGAAAGGGGAGCTTGGACTTCTTCCTGATGGTTTTGGAGAGGCAATGAAGGGTTTTCAACATGACAGTGACCCAATCACACACCTGACACTCCTGTATACAGTGTCCTAGGTGCTGTCAGCAGCCTGACAGGCTCTCAGTTTCTGACAAGAACCAAACTTGTGAGCCTAGTGGATTGTTCAAGAAAGCTGGACATCTCTTCTGTGTCCTCAAGGCTCCCAGTTGGGTCAATGAAGCATGGTTGTTACCCAGACATAAGAATAAACCCCTTGGGATATTAATTAATTCAATACTTGATTCTTTTTCTTAATCTCCTTTCTTTGATGCCTTGGCAATTCTGATAAAAGCTGTGGACGTCGTCTACCCCCCACCACCGCCCCCCAAATGTACACATCCTCAAAACTATGCCTCCAGCTTCAAGGCGCTCATTAGAGCTTCCAAAGGCCTTCCTTGGAGCTGAAGATAAAAGCCCTGCCTTAACTAGAAGTCCAAGTTCCCCACGAGGAGGGCGCTTGGGTCTGACCTGGACCCGGAAGGATGGACAGGCAGGCTCCCTCCCTGCTGAGGCCAGCACACAGCTGTGCAAAGCTCCCCCCAGAGCAGCCATTTTCCTGGACTCTGTGCCCTGACTTCCTTCCACACTCCACTCATGAAGGTGAGGCCTCCCAGTTCCCAGAGGGCCTGTTTCTCTTCTGACATTGAGTCTGTAGCCCCCCACTTCTGGGCTTCTGGCCCTGACCTACTTCTCTACCTCTGGCCCTTAGGTTTGGCCTCTGTAGCAGGCAGAATTCTAAGCATGTCACCCTGTGACCCTTCCCCTTATATACACTTCCCCCACTTGGGGTGTGGGTGGGTCCTGTGACTATGATGAGCTCGCACGCCTGTCGTTATGTAAAGTTATATGCTGAGAGGGAGATTTTGCAGGTGGCTCTCACCTAATCACCCAAGGCCTTTCAAAGCAGAGTGTTCTCTGCTCATCACAGAAGAGGAAGTCAGAGGTTTGAAGCAAGTGGGGGATTTAAAGGTTCTTACCACAGCCTCCAAATGAAAGCCCAGTCTGACTGCAACCTTGATTTTGGCCTTATGAGACCCTAAGCAGAGAACTCAGTCAAGCCCATCTGGACTTCCGACCTACAACAATAAGACAATACATGGGTATTATTTTAAGCTGCTAAATTTGTGATAATCTGTTACACAGGAATAGAACAACTAGTATCACCTTGATACCCCCTCTCCTTTTATCAGGCTGAGGGTTGTTCAGTTGGGAGCTGGCTGAACATACGCTGGCAGCCCCAGCGTTCCTGAAATTCTTGGCTTCAGTGGACTCCCGAGGACTTTGGTTCCTGCCCCTGTGGGATTCCAGGGTCCCAGCCTGCCCTCAGGAGCCCCCAGTGGCAGGGAAGACAGGCACGCTCACTGCTCACGGTGCTCTGGCACAGGGAGGCAGATGCGAACTCTCATTGTGGCAATCTAGGATGGCGTCCTATCCAGACAGGTGTCTTCATCAGCATGGCAGAGGCCACTAGAAGTCACGTCCTGTATAGTTTTTACCTCTGGCTCATATGAAGAGGGCTCTGATTCTCTGTCAGTTGCATCATTCCCCAGAAAGCACTGCATTCCAGCCCCTTTGGCAGCTAGATGTTCTTCCGGGGACTGGGTTCTGGTCAATGAGAGGTGAGCAGAGATGAAGCCTGCATCTCTCTGGGTGTGCAGTTGACAGGAGTAGGTGGGCCCACCTCTGCTCATCGGCCCCTCCCCACAGGCTTGGTTGCAGGCAGGGAGTGACCATCTGTCACCCTGCAGATGACAGCAGCACCTGAAGGGAGGCAGAGCAACAAGATGGCAGGAGTCTGGTCTGCCAAAGCAGTCCTGGCTGAGACTTTATGTGACTGAATAATAGAGGAAGAAACTTCTCTTGTTTCAGCAAAGAGGCCTCTTTTAACAACAAGCAAATATCCAGTCTCATGAATGCAGTAGGGAATCTTTTGATTGCAAGCAACAGAGAAATCAGTCCAAAAAAGAGGATTCACCTGTTCCTTTTCAATACACCACTAAAATCACAGCGAAAAACTAAAAGGAGGCTTAAACTGCATAAATGAAGAGAAGGGGAGAGAAGATGGCAGAAACACAGTTTTAGGAGCCACAAATCACGTGGACATGTGGTTATACTCTGCAGTCCCAAGAAAGCTTCATCATAAGCTGTCAGTGGTGAAGGGGAAAAAGTGGCAACTGTGCCCTGTAGGACCCCCAGAGGCCCAGCCACTGGAGTAGCATGAATTTCTGGAGTTTAGCATTGGTGAACTGGCAGCAAGAGGGCTGGTTGGAAGTCTGTTTAGGAAGCAGGCAGATCCCCACGTACCCACCTCCGACAGATGACTGGAGGTTTATTTTTGGTGAGCTTGGGCCTCTAGGCCAGGAGACACCAGGAGCTTAATAAAAACGAGAGTTTCCAGCACCTGCAGCAGGTACCAGTAGCAGCACCTACAACTCTCTCCCAGGACCATACGTATAAAGCCTACAAGGAAGGCTCCAAGTATCAGGTGTTGGTCCCTCCAGAAAGCCCTTAGCCAATGATGGGTTTTAGTTGAGGGGTGAACGTCCCTCAGTTAAAACAACTTAGAGGCTTTTCCACACTGTCCCTCAGAGGTTGGTAGGATGGAGCCTCAGGTGTCCACAGTAAAATCTCACTCATTAATGGGTCCTGTCTTGACTGCCAAATTGTTACTCTCTAGAGCATTTGAGATCGTGCTCCCTGGCATATATCTTCAGTTTGGCTCTAATTGGTGGTGGTGGTGGTGATAAGGGATCCATGTGTTTTTCCCGGGATTGTGATCTCGCAGTCACCGAATAGTGGAAACGAGGGTTGGAGAGGCAAGGTTTGAAGCAGTGCACAGGTGTACTGTAAAGCACGAAAGAGCAGCTCTCTGACAGTGGTATGCCCCCGAGCTAGGGTACACTAGGGACTATATGTCCTTGAGCCTGTTATCCTTGAAACATTGAAACATTGTGCTGTAGCGTGATTGGACACCTGCACCTGGACTGTGAGTTTTAGTGGATTCTGCAGTTCTGCAGTTTGGTTATCCGCCTAGTTCTCTTTTTCGTATTTTTTTTTCCAGCTACTTTTGAAGTTGCTTTTCTGGCCTTGAAGTTGTTTTTCTGGGGTTACTTATGCCTGTATCGTCCACCGTTACTTATGCCTGTATTGTCCACTGTGGTCCTGTCCCTATCTGCCTATCTGTTTTCCTGCCTCTGTTGGGGGGATGGGTGAAATAAACTGTTGCAGTTTTTAGCAGCAGTCCCCATTTCAAATAAACTCTTCTCTCCTATTTATTTAGTTAATTGTTTGTTTATGTCAGTATGGACTCACTGATATTTATTTTATACTTTGGTTTATAATCCAAGAGTACTACTTTAATTACCATATTTTGCTGTGTCGAATGCACACTTTTTGGGCCCATATCTGTGATGGAAAAATAAGGATGCACATTATACATGGGTAGTACTAATTCCATATCTATATAAATGTTTTTAATTATTTTATTTATGTTTTTGAGTTAAAAGTGTAACTCTAGAAATCAATAATGATATCCGTATGCAAAATAATACCCTGGAATACAATAATCGGTTTTGTTGAACTTAAAAGGAACTTGCAATGATGAAGAGTTCTTGGCCTTCTATGATGTGTAACTATTGTAAATTTGTTACCGGTACATAAAATTTTTGTACCTTGTGTCTGTTCTTTTGTTTTTATAATTATTTAATACATAAAATTTCTTGTACCTTAATATGTTAAACAATAAATAGTAAAATTTCTTTATAATACAAAAACAAGTACCTAAATGTAAACAAAATTTTGAATTAAAAAATTAAAACAAAAGATTTTTTCCCCTAGAACCTGGGTGCACATTACAAACAGCAAAGTACGATAATTCGTTGCTCAAGTTTTTCCAGCTTTGGCCATTACAAGTCTTTCAGGTGGTTCCTGTGTCTCTTTGACACTCCTCCTCTCCCCCATCGTGTATGTGTGTGTGTGTGTGTGTGTGTGTGTGTGTGTGTGTGCGCGCGCGCGCGCGCGCACGCGCGCACACACGCGTTTAGCACTTCCTTACTTTCTGGCACTATATGCTGCTCCAGGCTCATTTCGTCTATTTCATGTCCTGGCCCTAGAACTGGAGTCCTGTTTCCTTTTATTAGAGCATGGCATTTGACCTCAACATCTGCATGCTAGGTGTGCTCATTGCTACTGGGGTGTTATTGCGTCTAGGCCTCTCTCAGCTACAGAGCAAGGACACAGATGTATCGAGACTAACACACGTATATACACATATCTATATTTCTCTGTTTGTAACCACCTGTATCGATGTTGAGCTAAACATGAGTTCACAAAGATGTCTCCAACACTAATCCCTCACCACGTGAGCTATTCCAGCCACCTCCTCTTCTTTCTTTCTTTTCTGTTAATTTCTACTCCAGTAGGGAGAAACATTCCTCACTTCACCTGTCACCCATGTACTTAATTTTCCAATCCCAGTACACAGCACAGCAGTATCAGAAATGTGGGTCCAGGGTTGCACATTTTTTGTGAAGTTTAAAAATACTTTTAATAATTTCTACTTGTCCTATCCTGAAATGGAATTCATATATAATACTATCTCGTTACACACAATGTGCTGCCCACACTGTGAAGAGAAATAAAAGTTATTTACAATAAAAAAGGGGACATTTCAATACGTACATGCTCAAGCACTGTTATACCAGAAGATGTAATGAATCAGTTGCTTGCATTCATTTAAGTTTAGATGTAAGATAATACAATATGCAACTGAAAACTAGGAATAGTTTTGTGGGTTTTTTTCAAGATTGTATTGGGGAATTGGGGGAGGGGAACAGCATTGGGGAATTGGGGAAGGGAAACAGACAAGTTGCTATTGTTTTGTCCTTCAGTCTAGTTGTGGAGGACATTGCTTCACCGGCCTATGTTGGTATTATCATTGCGCTCTTCCAGGGTGAGGCAGATCAGTCTCTGGCCACTGGATGGCCGCTGACGGTGGCTCATGGCAGCTCACACCAGCTGCTAGCCACTCACGCTGGCTGTCGGCCACTCATAGTAGCTTACGGCAGCCCACTGCAGCCCCACTGCAGCCTACACTGGCACTGGCGACTCACGGCAGCCCAGCTCCAGGTCAAGCTGTTGTTTACCATCTTAGCTGTAGAGGGTGCAGCGTCACTGGCCCATGTGTGAACTGAACTGGTGGCCCTGCTGCTCAGAGCTCCCGCTCCCAAGCCAACTCT